TTATTCTTCCCAGGCACTACTTTAAGCATCTTACATGTATTAACATGCGTAATCTTTGCAATAATCCTGTGAGACAGGCTCTCTTTTCATCTGTGCAGTGCAGGTGAGGAAAAGGCCTTGTTTTGTTTGGTGTGCACTTTGGCGGATTTATAAAAGAGAAAGGAGAAGAGATCCTTGATTTAGACAAATTTTCACAGATACCTCTCTGGATTCACAATTTCCCAGAAAGTCAGTGGGGATTTCTGTGACAGGAGATGTCACGTATTTGGGAAGCAGATCATGGCAGCTGCTGATTTCTTTGGAAGCTCTTTGATAGAAATAAAATCAGTTTCCACTCTAGTCTCAATGACTGATATTGATTGGAAACAGAGGATGGCTAAGGGTGCTTAAACCACCAACAGATGGAGACTTTAGTAATTACATCTGTATGAAGGTAGATACCTGAGCGGCCTCCAGAATAGACAGTTTTCTCTGCAGATCAGAATGTGACTCCGTGAAAGTCAGCACGTGACAATATGGTATGTTTTAAAAGAAGATAAAAGTCCCCATTGGCTGAAAGTCCTGCCCCAATAATGTTGAAAATCTTATTCCTTTAAGCTTCACACCTCTCAAAGGGAAAAATATCATTACCAACAGCAGCAGCAGCAGCAATGGCAATGCCAACCTCCATGATTGAGTGCTGTGTGCCAGGAGCTATGTAAGTGCTTGTCGGTTTGCAAACTGGTTCCCATACATGGAGAGCAAGGAGAGACTGAAGAACAATACAGATCACTCTAGATTGGTAGGCGTAGGTTTAACGAGCAAGGGAATGTATGTACAAGGCTTGTCTTGGGTGGCCATTAAACAAGCAGATTTCTGCACCTGCCTGCTAGAATCTTAAAAGAGAGGCCTTAACTGGGTTCAATCACATGTACTGTCTGGATGGTCTCAGCAACACCTTACTCTCTCAAGGCTGTGTTCTTGGAATAGCTCTCAGGCAGGTTCTGTGGACAGAACATACATTTTAAGGACAGGAGAGGGTATGAGGAGTCCAGCTTATGGGTCAACTGGTGGTCACATCCTCTTGATGACCTCCTCCAACAGTATTTTACTTGAATTCTTTAATACAATCCTTGAAAAAAAAACCCATTGAGGAGATAGTTTTGTGATTCACATTTTACAGATGAGAAAATCTAGGATTTGTAAAGATTAGATGCCTCACAAATTCACATGGTTAATTATTATCAGTTACAGGA